AGGCTGAATGGTGTTTTTATAGTATATTTTTCACATATTTATAAAATTTGTCACTCTTTCTGTGTTCTTATATTTTAGGTGTGCATCTAATAAACAGCATGGTCAGTCTTCTTTAAAAAATCTTTTAGTCAGAATATTTGATTTCTTTATAGTTAATATAATTATTGATGGGGGTTATAGGGATTTTCACATTATTTATTTTCTACATAACCCACTTGTTTAATATTTCTAATGTCTTTTCCTACCTTCTTTAGGATTAATCAACTTTTTTTTAATTTAACTCTGTGAGCCACAGATTCTTTCAGTATTTAGTTATCTGAACATTTTATTTCACTTTAATTTTTAAAGAATATTTTTTTCTGCAGATGGTGTTTCCTTCTAGCACTTGGGATCTCATTTCATTGTATTTTGGGTTTGTTGTTTCTTTTTAGAGCATTTCTTTACTATTGTCATCATTTCATTTTTATTTTTGTTTGCGTGTCCTGGTGTGCCTTGGTGTAGTTTTAATTGTACATACCCTCCTCGAGTTATCCCAAGCTTCTGAACTTTGTGGGTGGTGAGTTCCACCTGATTTGACTCTTTGTGGCTATTATGTCTTCAAATACTGCTGCTATTCTTCTAATGGGACCTGATTACATGCTTCTTGGACCGTCCACTATGTCTTCCATTTCCCTTATTTTTTTTGTACTTTTATCTTTTCTATTCTCCAGTTTACATGTTTTCATTAATTCGTGTTGCTGTTCGTAACCCTCTGTTCTACTGTGTCTAATCTGCAGTTTTACTCATCTTCAGAATCTTAATTTCTATTTTACTTTTCAGTTCTAAAATGTGTATGTATTTTTACATATTTGAATGCATTGATGAAATTCTCAATATTTTCATCTCTTTTCTTCATCTTTTCTTCTATTTATTTTAATATATTAATTATATTTACTTAGAAGTTTTTGCCTGTTAATTTCCAATATATTTATCATTTGTTATTTTCTTTTTTTTTTTGTTTTTAATCATGTGTTTTAAATTCAAGTAGGCTGTCTTTTTACACGTCCAGTAGTTGATAATAGAATGTTTGTCATTCGTGAATGTTTTCTTATATAGTTCGCTTTCTGATACTCTCTTTCTATAAAGAGGGTTCACTTTTTTTTTGCTTGTTTGTTTTGGTCAGAAAGATAGAGCAAGACCTTAATTTCAGTAGGGCCTGAGCTGGATCAAGATAAGCTACTGTTTAAGTACCACTTTTTCCTGCTTCTGGTTAGCTCCCATTCGGTGTAGCCATCAACGACTTCTTTGCTACTTGGGCTGTTCTCCCTGGTAGGCTGTGAGATGTTATTTTTATGTCCTCCATTTAAAAGAGTGCAGAGATCTCCCGTCTGCTCTTCAGAAGTGTCTGAGCTCTCGCCTGTGCAACTTCAGAACCTGGCAAATAACCCGTGGAGAGAACTTTTCATGTATCCATACCCGTCTACCCCTCCCTTCTCACCAGGATCACAGTCCTGCAGATCTCAACTTTTGTCTTTTATTTCACAGCCTACCACAAACTTTGCTGGATTCTCTGTTCCCAGAGTTTATTCTGGGGTAGGAGGCTAGGAGGATTCTCAGATCCTTGACCTGAGGCCACAAGTAGCGAATATGCTTAGGAAAAAAAGCTGTCATTAGCCCAAGAACTTACTGCTCTTAACTTTCCTTCAAAATCTCAAGTCTCCCTAGCCTTGTTTCTGGTTGCAGTTCCCCTATGTCTTCAGGCTGCTATAAGAAAATACCACAGACTGGGTAGCTTAGAAACAACCAAAATGTATTTCTCACATTCCTGAAGGCTGGAAGTCCATGATCAAGGCTGAAGGCATCTGGCTTACAGACACCGTCTTTTCACTGTGTCCTGACACGGTGGACAAAAAGCAGGAAGTCTCCTGGGACTACTTTATAGGAGCTCTGACCTCAGGACCTAAGCACCTCCCCAAAGGGCTCACCTCTTTATACCAACACCTTAGGGTTGATGATTACATCATATACATTTTGAGGGACAAGAAAGTTCAGACCACAGCACACGTGTTAATTTCTAATTAACTTTATTTTTTCAGAGAAGTTTTAGGTTTATAGAAACATTGAGCAGAAAAAGAAAAGAGAGATCATATGAAATTTTATTTGTTTGTTCGCTTATTTTTGAGGTGGGTATCACTTTGTTGCCCAGGCTGGAGTGCAGTGGCAGAATCACGGTTTACCTCAATCTCCTGGGCTCAGGTGATCCTCCCACCTCAGTCTTTTAGGTATCTGGGACTACAGGTGTGCACCACCATGACCAGCTACTTTAAAAAATTTTTATTATTTTTTTGTAGAGATGAGGTCTTACTATGTTGCCCAGGCTGGTCTCCAGCTCCTGACCTCAAGTGATCCTCCAATCTTGGCCTCCCAAGTGCTGGGATTGCAGGCATGAGCCACTGTGCCCAGCCCATATGCATTTTTAAAAATTATATTATTTTCAACAGAAATGTCTGTCTATTGCAACATATTCCACCATATCAATAATTAGAATTACGTCTAAAGCAATACTTTTCAAAGTTATGAATATATAAAAAAAGAAGCACTAAAAATCTATATTCAAGCTCTCTAAGTTGTAAATAATACACTAATATATTTAAATATAAAACTGGGAAAATATTTTCTGCAAATAGAAAGTGAATATATAATACAAAGGGTTCATAGAAGTTGATTATTAATATATTAATAACTCAATAGCTAGATAAAGTTTATAAAAGCTTTAATGAGGAGGTAAATTTAATAAATAAATGAGAATTCACTAGGCCAATTAGTTTATCAAAAATGAAAATGAAAATACAAGTACTTTCTACCCATTAAACCAGCTCTGATAGCTGCTAGATATGCCTTCCCAGGTCCTGGACTCTGATCCTAAATGATGGCTGGTACACAGAATGTGCTAGAAAAATATTGATTTCCTTCTTTTTTCTCTTCTTTGGAGATTCATATTTCTAGCGTCTTCTTAAGTCGATTTTTGTTGTTATAATATACTTGTATATGGATTATCTTATAGACAAAGGTTGTTTGTGGGTCAGAGTCTATTAACTAATTAATGAGTTAATAATTAAGGTCCTAGTACATGTGTCAAGTGCTGTACCAAGCACTGCACTGGGTGCTAGTATATACTTCAATCATCAGTCTTTCTCTGTAGCTGAGATGGTATTCTCTCTTTCATACACAATGTTAAGAATATGCAAACCAGGTACAGTGACTCATGCCTGTAATCCCAGCACTTTGGGAGGCCAAGGTGGGAGGATTGCTTGAGCCTGGGAGTTGGAGACCCGTCTGGGCAACCAAAAGAAAAAATCAAAATATTAGCCAGGCATGGTGGCACATACCTGTAGTCCCAATAACTCAGAAGGCTGAGGCAGGAGAATCACCTGAGCCCAGGAGGTCGAGGCTGTGGTGAACTGTGATCAGCCACTAGACTCCAGCCTGGCTGACAGAGTGATACTCAGACTTAAAAAAAGAATACGTTAAAAAAAAAACTGACTTGCATTTTCTGCAGTTTATCTCTTTTAACAGTCTTTTGAAAAGCTGATGCTCGTTTTATTTATCCTACCACTGTTGTTTTTTATTCATAAATTATTAATCTATATTTGTATCTCTATTGCTACTTCTCTGCTTTTCATATACTCATTTAAAATAATTGTTTTTAGCTTCTTGACCTTAATGATAAATTTATTCCTTTTCACTCTTTCTTGCTCAACATAAAATCATTTAGGCATTGGATTTCCTTTGGCGTATGAGTTTGGCATCATCACCATTTTAAAACCTTCTGTAATGATAATTTTGGTTTCATCCTTTACCTGGGTTAAGAGAATCTTTCTCTTGAGCAAAGCTAATACCAGTTAACTCCTTCTTACGTGGTAACACTATTTAACTGAGCACCTGACCTTTAGGTCCTCTTCTAGCTGGGTTTCCCCTGTAGCTACATTCCCCAGGAGAAGTGAGTGGAAATGGTGGGGAATGGGGTACACACTCTCACTCTTTAAGGGGAAGTGTGTGTCCTTCTCCTCCTGTCTAAAATGCAGACATGGAGAAGACAGGAACTGTGCAGCTACCGTGGACCCCGGTGGAAATGGCAGGTCAAGATGGGCATAAGCCTGGAGAAGAAGCCTGAGTCCCTTACACCAAGGAGCCACCCTGTCCACCCTCAGGGCTTGTGAAAGAATTGTCGGTGGGAAAGACACCTCGATCTTGTTTAAGAACTTTTATTTTGAATCCTCCCTCAGCGACTGTAATTATATCATAATTAATGGAGTTCATAATTTTTAATTTCATGGCATTGCTATCAAAGAATATAGAATGTACAATTTCTTCCTCAAATATGTTGAGATATTTTTAGTTGTCTAATAGATGGCCAAGTTTTGTAAGTATTTCCTGTATCATTTATTAGTTTTCAAAGTTATTTAGATGTATGCATGTATAAATTTGTATATATCTTTAAGTTATTCAAACTACCCAATCAATCATATTACTACTTCCCATACTATGTTCTATAAAACACCACTTCTATGGAATATTGATAGGTTCACCTCCAAATAAAAAGTGTAATAGTTCCCTTATGCTCTGCTTCCTTTTTTTTTTTTTTTTTAATTATTTTCATGGTTAATCACAGACTCTGGGCCAGACTGTCAAATCCTAGCTCTTCCAATTTACTAGCTGTGTGAATCAGGTGAGTTATTTAATCTTGCTTTTACTCAGTTTCCATGACAGTAAAATAGGGAAAATGATAACACCTACCTAAAAGGATTGTTAGAAAGACTGCAAAATGAATATATGTCAAACATATAGAACAATGCCTGGCAGAGGGTGAACCTTTTTAAAAACAGTCACATATATATATTTTGCATATAAGAGGTCCCAAGAAATAATGAAGTAATGGAATGTGCTTACTATTATTTATCTGAACATTCCCCAAACTTATGTGAGTGGGATTACTTTGGTCATAGCCAGTTGGGAGAAAAATGTGTTCATGGAATATTGGTTTTGGAAATGTTGAAATAGATTATTGAGCACCATTGCATAGTGAGAGGTGTTTGCTTTTTTTTCCCCTAGTAACTGGGGTACATGAATGCCATTAAGAGGTCTTTGAAGCCCTTGAAATTGATGTAAGTTCTATGTGTCTATGCATAGGTATGTATTTCTGAGGACAAGATCCAAGGAGTTTTCCTGATTCTCAAATTTCTCCATATGAATTTTTATGATTGACTGAAACATCAGAGACAAAAAGAGTGTAAGTTTTCTACTGTTTTATTGTTCTTTTCTTCGGTTCCTGGTTGGTCTTCTCAAGTTCATCCTGTACAATTTCATTAAGCTACTTGGAGTATAACAGGATTTACATTCTTTTAATATAATCTCACATTTCTTTGCAATTCTTTCTTATTTTAAATCATTATCTTTCCATTTTCTATGAACATTATCTTGTTACGTAGCTTTCTCCTGTTTTATAGAAAGCAATGCTTTCTCATATGTTTTTGTGAATGTTAATTGTTTTTTAATAGTATTTTGTTGTTGTTCTTGCAGTTAATTGTTTTCAGAAACAAAACCCTTCTGCGAGCTAGTCCAAATGCATTTTCTTTCCCATTATTTTGTATCATTGTTTCATGCATTCAGGTTTGACCTTTGTTATTTTCCTCACTGTTTTTTAAAATTTTAAATTCAGAAGGTATTTGTGCAGGTTTGTTACATGGTTATATTGTGTGGTGGTGAGGTTCAGGCTTCTGTTGAATCCATCACCCAGGTGTGAAAATGGTACCAATGGGTGGCTTTCCAGCCCTTTCTCTCCTCTCTCCCCCTTTAGGAGCCCCCAATGTCTGTTATCCTCATCTTTATGTCCATGGATACCTAGTGAGCTCCTGCTTAGGAGTGAGAACATGCGGTATTTCGATCTCTGTTTCTACACTAATTCACTTAGAATAATGGCCTCCAGTTGCACCCATGTTCCTCCAAAGGACACAATTTAATTCTTTTTATGACTGTGTAGTATTCTATGGTGTATATGTATCATATTTCCTTTATCCAGTTTATGGGCACCTTGATCAGTTCCACGCCTTTGCTATAGCGAATAGTGCTGCGATAAACACACAGGTGCAGGTGACATTTTGGTAGAACAATCCATGCTCCTTTGGGTATATAACCATGAATTGGATGCTAGGTTGAGTGGCAATTCTACCTTTGAGAAATCTCCAACATGCTTTCCACAGGGATTGAACTAATTTACATTGCCAACAACAGTGGTATGTGCACTCTCTTTTCTCCATAACCTTGCCAACATCTGTTGTTTTTTGACTTTTTAATCATAACCATTCCGACTGGTATGAGATGGTATCTCAATGTGGTTTTGACTGGCAAACAAGGCAATATCCAACCACATTTCAAGTGTGTCAGTTGAGATGCAAGCAGACTTTCTAGTCCCAGCATCTTTTCAACCGTCATTTTGAAGAATCTAGTAAGATGTAAATTTGATGGGGAGGGTGGTACATGTCTATTTCCCACACAATTTACATTTTCTATCAGGCTTTATCTATTGTTTCTCTTCTCCTTTGAGAGAACACCTTTTTATGCCCATTACTGACACACTGATACTCCAAAATAACGCAAATATCTTTCCATAAGGTAGAATTGATCATAATGCATAGTTACCACTGGATTTCTGGATTCCACAGCCTTCAGCCTGGATTTACTCCTACATTTTGTATCTCTGAAAGTCATGCTGCCATCTCCAGGCTCTGATCTGCATTAGTTCTGGTTGTTTTCTGAGGTCTGAAGACTCTACCTGAACATGGGCAAGTAAGTGTAGGTGGAAAGTAAATGAAATGATGTTTCCCCAATTCAACAAATTGAGGAGTAGGAACTGGGAGGTGCCTTTCTTCTGGATGAAGCCTCCAGGCGCAGATTTCAGGACGTTCCAGGGAATGGGCACTTCAGCAAGACAGCTCCTATTTCTCATGTTCATAGCTCCAGCTCACCATAGTACAAAGCAACTCACCTGTCCTCCAGGAAAAACAAAACAAAACATCTGTTTCTTTTCCTATATTCAAAACTTTGGCCAGTAGTTACTTTCTTTAAGTACTTCACACCTGAGAACTTACGCAGTATCCTGTGAAACCACGTCATACAGTGTGAAGAGCAAGATATTTAGAAACAGATTATCTGGTTCCAAAAGCCAAATCTGAGTATTCAGTTTGTGTGAGTCTTCTTTTATTCAATTCTGACATGTGATCATCGTTTCTTCCCTACCATTGCTAAATAATTTTCATAATGATTAAGTGGAATCCTAAAATATTTCAATATTACAAACTTTAGATAACACACATTATCAATACTTGCAGGATGAAGCTAAAGCAGTTGTTAGAGGGAAATTAAAGCATCAAATGTTTTTATTAAAAAAGAAAGATCTTGAATCAGTGCTGTAAGTTTACAACCAAGAAATATACCAAAAAAGAGGTAAAACTTAAACCCAGTGTAATCAAAAGAAAGGAAACAATAAAAAGAAGAGTAGAAATCAGTGAAATAGAAAACAGAAAATCAGCAAGGAAAAAAACAATGAAACCAAAAGCTGATACTTTGATAAGATCAGTAAAATTGATAAACCTCTTGATAAACTGATCAAGAAAAAAAGTAGAAGACACAAATTACCAATGTCAGAAATGAAAGAATATCACTACAAATGCTACAGATATTAAAGGAATAAGAAGAGAATATGATAAACAACTGTTGCTGATAATTTTGATGGATTTGATGAAATGGACAAATTCCTTGAAAGACACAAACCTCCAAATCTCAATCGAGAGGAGATATATAATCCAAATAGCTCAATATCTATTAAAGAACGAAGTTCATTGCTTCACTAGTGAATTCTACTAAATATTCAAGGAAGAAATAACAATTCCATTCAAACTCTTCCAGAAAATAGATGAAGAAGGAAGACATTTATTCTCAGTTTATTAAACTAGCATTACCCCGATACCTACACCAATGACATTAAAAGAAGGAAGATTTCAGACAATATCATTTATGAACATGACATAAAAATCTGTAACAAACACTAGTTAATGATATATTTATTAATCGTACCTGTCCTGATATCTATTTGATTGGATAGTATTTTTACTTCAATCTCTGCAATGTCATACTTTTCTTGCTTTCCATTCATTCTGTTTCATCCTGTTTCAGATTCCTAATACCTACCATCTGGATTATGAGAGTAACTTTCCAACTTGTCTCCACACCTTCACTCCATTCTTTTCACTGTCCTCCATCAAGGTGTCCTTCCTAAAACTCAGTGCCTCATCACGTCACTCTAAGGTGTGAGTGTTTAATGACTTCTCATATTTTTACAGGTTTAAAAATACTATTAGTACCTTCTTAGCCTAGTGTTTGATATTCGCCATTCTATAACCAACCTACTTTTTTAGACTTTTCCATCAATATACATGTTGTATGCTCAGTCAGGACAACTCCATCTTAGTTCATCTTTCTCAGATTAGTGTCTTTGCTGTATTGTTTCTTCTACATGAAATTGTAGCCTATTAAAATTCTACTTCTTCTGTGGTTTTTAACTTCTTCACCTTTATGATCCAATGCTGTTTGATTTTAACGAGTATTTTATTTCACCTTATGTAATAGCTGGATATAGCAATTTTTGTTGTGTTACGCATATTTGAAATATAGCAGATGATGTGATGTTACTGTTGTTCTATGGGTGAGTCCTGGTTTTCTAATAGGATCATACGATGCAAGGCTGTTGTATGGAATGCTTAATGATTCTGTTTCCTTGTCATTTAACACAGTATTGTATGCACATAAATGTCAGATGATTAATAAATACTTGCTTATTATGGGATCAGGTAGATTCGATGGTAGATAAAAATAAAGCTTGACATATCTACTTCATCTTCCAGATGCAAATGTCATTTGAGAATATTCAAGCTTGTTTCTTTGCATCTGTTTAGCAGTACCTTTTAAACAGAAGCCACACATGTCAGCCTTTGGGGATTTTTTGGATGCCTGGTTCTGAAATTTTCTTGTCCAATGAATAATAAAAGTATTTTCACACTCCTGGTGAGTCCATGGCTCTCCTTACTTATATCCTTGTTCACTCTTGATCCTTTCCCTCCTCGCAGCTCTAGGTTTGCCCTAAGCATGCTTTTCCTACACAATGGAAGAACTTCCTTAAGGCATATAGCCATGATACAGATTGTGAATATTTAAGACACTCTTTTATCCAGTACATACACGACTTGGGGCACTAAAGTTCCCACTCAGTCACAAGAAATATTTATATTCTCATTTATATTGTCATTGTAAAATATACACACCACGAGTGCAAATATGTACTCACTTATACACACAGGGGCAACTCATTTTAGTATAATTTCTTATGCTGCCTAGAAAATTCTTACCTTCTGTTTGAGTGGATATAGACTAAGAAATACTCCTCTAAATATTTCATTTAATATGTAGGCACTTTCACTCTTTTATTGCTTAGGTTTACATTTTTTAAAAAACCACTACACATTTGAGAGGCATTATAAAAAAGATAAAATCACTCAATATACAATAAATTGCCCTTAATACATCCTAGTGTCAGATATTATTTGCACACTTGTGATAGAAATATTTAGTCAAATGTCATAAATCACAAATTTACTTCATATAATCACCAACAATGGCATCAATGTTCATATCTTTTGACTGTTTCTTTTTTATCTTTTTTTTGTTGTTGTTGGAGTTGAAGTCTCACTTAGTCACCCAGACTGGAGTGCAGTGGCTGCTCCTGGCCACCACAGCCTCGACTTGCTGGGCTCCGGTGATCCTTCCACCTCAGCCTTCCAAGTAGCTGGAACTACAGGCGCACGCTACCACGCCCGGTTAATTTTTTGATTTATTGTAGAGATGAGGTCTCACCAAGTTGCCCAGGCGGGCCTTGAACCCGTGGCAATTCATTCACCTCGGCCTCCCAAAACGCGGGTTTACAGGCTGAGCCACTGAACCGACTCTTTTGACTGTTTCTAATTAATGACATAAAAAAATCCATAATTTTTAAGTTCAAATAAACAACAGTTCAACATAGTTATAATTAATGGACATATTTGCACTTTAGAACTAATTTTTAAAATATTTATTGAGCACCTACTATGTGCCAAGCTTTATGAAGGAGAAGATGGACATAATCTCAGCAAAAAATGACAACAAATTTAGTTTGAATTTCAAATAACACTTTACTGAGAAAATGTAATCAATAATTTGTTTCTCACCCTCAGAACAATTACGTTCTCCCTGTTTCCAAATACTCAATTGGAAAGTTTCCAACTTTCTTACATCTCTATTGTATTATGAATAATGTTTCTAGTTCACTAATTTTACTGCTAATCAAATTGAAAAGAAACTCTTTATACTTTCAGATATGCTTTGAAAAAAGGCCCTCCCAACATATGCACCCGGGAATTATCAGTTCATTAGTATACAGTTTTTCAAATCTTAGATTCATGGTTCATTATGTTACCTTAGAGATAAAAATACAATTTTACACTTATATGACAGGAAAAAATTAGAATTAACATATGATTATGAGTTTTAATTTGGAAATTAATCTACAAGCATCTCTAGTTTAAATATTTCAAACAAAAAACTACCTTTAATATTGTATCACAAACAATACTTAAATCCTAAATTACATCCATTTAGAGTAATGCTTTTCAAAAATATGCAGTCTTTTTGGATTTTAAAATAATTTCCATATTTTATAATATAGATTATAATGGATACAAGTCTAAAAATATATGTAGACTTTGCATTTTAAAACATTCACCAAGCTTCTTATTTGATTCATTCTTTATTTGGTTCAAGTTTGCGATTACATGTTTCAGCGGGAAACTGATTGCTTGTAATCTAGGGACATGACATACCACCCTAAATCACAGGCATACACACCACATCAGTTGTGGCTGTAGAGAATGCCTTATGTGACTACTCCATGGCACGAAAGCCTAACTTGACACTGAGACCAATTCAGGAAATTTAATGAGGTGCTAATCTCCCTTAAACACTTCGTCTAATTTGGAAAGACTTCCTCCAGTTTCTGCAGAGTAGTAGCAAATAAAATATCCAGGTTATGTGCTAGAAGAAATCCTACCCCAGCTTGTGCTCCTAGAAATGTAAGTGGAACAGACCCACGCACCTGCATTCTAGCACTAAGCCTAGTCATAATTGTTTACCAAGCACAGGCTCTGCCCAGTGGACAGTGTATCTGTGTGTAAGCACATTCTTTGCCTACAATGCTCATAGAGGTAATAAATTTCACAAGACATTTGTCTCTTGGTTCCTGTGATACTGTATACACAAGCGCAAATAACAGTGTGAAGTACATTGGTCTAAGGTGCTCAAAGGCATTTGGCACTAAACTGGATATGAGAGGAATTATTCATTTTTTTTGCACCCTGACTCAATTATTTCTTTACTACTTCGTTGAATCTTTTTTCTTAAACATCTTTTCTCCTCACAAGGAGACACATATAAATACATAATACTCTGTCATAATTTTCAGTCAAAATATAAAAGATCATGTCCAGAGTAAGAAATTGAAAAGAGAAAACCACATATGGACATAGACATGCAAAAAAAAAATTGTTAAGGAAAGTCATTATAAACACATTTTTCCAGGATATCAAATGCTATGCATGCAAAAAAAAACTATGCAACTTCTATTAAATGTATCATGGAAGAATCTAGGATGATCATTAAAGTTATGTGATCAAAGAGTTTGGCTTTTTGGACAAGAAGATTTGACTCGATTATGACATATGACAGCACTTGACTAAATTGCAAAATAAAATTACTTACTGTCTCTTTTTAATTATTTTATATTTGAAAATATAAAATGTGAATTTAAAAATATTTTCTGAATACTAGAGAAGACTGTGGAAATACTGAATGTCGGTGAGGTCTTCTGAGGTTTTGCTGAGTCTTCCTCCACCAACCATGAACTGCTGCCAAATTAATCCCTCTGAAACAAGACCCAACCATGTAACTTCCTGCTTGAGTTATCTTTGAGTAATTTCTTAAGAACACCTTCACCCATCCAGTGTGATCATAAACTGAATTGTATGTGCCCTACTATTACAGCACCTCTCCTCTGGCCTCACTCCTTGGAAAATGTCACTTCCTTTAGACTTCCTTTAGAACATCTGTCTTGTTCTGCTATGCTTGGCTCATTCTGACCCTTCCTTTCCAATTAGTTCCTGATACCAACTGTCTTACTTCTTTCTTGATGCAAGAAAGTTTCAAATTTTCTCCTCACCTTAACTACAGCAATAATTGAAAATTATACCTGTAAGGATTGCATCTCATGATATCAGTAACACCCAGTAAATTAATGTGTTCCAAAAGTTTATGTATAAGTTACTTGTTAGAAGGTGAAAATTCATTTACCCATGAAAATTCTCAGTAACTATTCCCTGCCAGATTCTGGATAATCTGAAATGTAGCTGGAATGTATTATGGCCAAAAATAGAAGTTTCAAAACTTCAATGAGAAGATGTGTACCAAGCTCTAACTCAAAAACTGGAAGTCAGTCATACATCACTTTTTTCTCTTCTATTCTTTGTACTCCCCTTGAAAATTGGGTAGTGCTGGGTATACACCATCGGTGCTTTGTCTGCTTATTCATTGCCAATCAAGAAAATGTGGTACATATACACAATGGAGTATTGCACAACCATAAAGAAGAACAAAGTCATGACTTTCTCAGCAAGATGGATGGCGCTGGAGACCATCATACTTAGTGGTCTATCACAGAAACAAAGAACAGAATACTGCATGTTCTCACTCATAAACGAGCCCTTAACATTAGTCACATTAGCACAAGGGAGGGATTGGCAGTCAGGAGAGGGAGAGTGAACATGCAGCAACACAGAGTACCTGGACCCAAACTAGGGGAAGTGAAGACCAAACTTCACCTGCAAGAAGCCTACTTGTTTAGCTAATCCTGACTATTACCCCCCATATCTATAACAAAATTAATAAATAGACAAAATAACTATACTGACTTGAATCAATAATTATTTGTTTACAATATTACAGTATGTGCAGGGCTCAGCTGCTGGTTCTTCTGCGTGTCTTGCTGCTAGTCACTTCTGTGGGTGAGCTCAACTGACTAGCTGTGGGCAGAAAAGAAGTTTAGGGAGCCACACATCTCTCTTTCCATGAGCCACAGGTCTCTCGTTCCCTTTGGTGCTTCTCAAAGACCAAGTCTTTAGAAGGACTGCTGAACTTGCCTGGAGACGAAGGGCTTTTGAGAGTGAAGAGTAGAGACTTACAGACTATTTAAGACTCAGGTGTGGAGCTAGTAGTGTCACTCTGACATATCCTTGTGATTAAGCATATTGTTGGTCCTGCCCAGGTTCATGAGAGAGGATTATACACAGGAATGAATTCCAGGAAGCTTGTGTATTGGACTGCCCTGGGACTGAACCATCACTTACCATGTCAGCTGTAATACAGAACAATTATCTAGTCTCCAATCGCTGGGAAAACATGAATTTAGCATTTTGGAAACATGCAAAATTCAACTAAATAGATATTAAATGCTTTGGTATATACAGAGTGAGACTTGGGTAATTTTTTTTACAGAGTTCTAATTCACCATAATCTAAGCTATAATTCCTACCAATGGAGATTAAATTAAGAAACTTTTACATTTTCTGTGTTAATTTCAGGTTTATAATGCTAAATCATACTTTAGACTAATATCCCACGTGTTCAGAATAAGCATACCAAGTGCTTGCATCTTTCCCCTAATCAAATATTTGATTTGAAGTTCATAATTCTGTATGACCTCAGAAAGCAATTCATTAGTATCACATAGAAAAAAAATAATGAATCAAAGCATCCCAAATAATGAGCTTTCCAGGTTAATATTTAAAGACAGCACAATTACTTGTCATTTTTTTAACCACAATGCAAATATTAGTCCTAACCACTTACAATGAATAACTTCAAAGTAAAGTGGAAGCTTAAATACCCCCTTCATATCCATCCTCTCCATATCTTTAAAGGGAAAACAATAAAGTGTGCTGGTTACCATCTTGTGATTGCAGAAACAAGACTCTCATTTGGGTGATTTAAATGATGTTAGAGAGTCAGGATGAAGAGACAAAATATAAATAAGGAAAACAAAAGTCTCACAGGACCCAGAGCTCATCATAAAAAGATGATAGCATATACTATAGGTCCCAGAGATGAATTTAGGCTCAAGACAGTTCTAAGAAGGAGATCTTGTCACCTGTCAGTCCCAGAAAATTGTTGATTAACTATGGCATTCTTTCTATATTTGTGCACATCATTTGCAAATTTTGAACTTTATCCTTTACTTTTTCTATTTTTGGGTTTCTATTTACTCATTTTCTTGGCTATCATTTGCATCTGAGATGAGCAGTGACATTTGGGACAGGACATTTCTTATTGTGTAAGATTCTTCCACATATTGTGCAACTCTGGTCCTCAGACACTAAATTCCTGTAGCACACATGGCCACTGTGACAACTGAAGAAAGGTACCTCAGCACCTTGCCAACTCCTCTAGAGGGTGACATCTCTCCTATCCATGTTCAGGGAAGAACACAGAGCAGTGTGAGCTTTCTGTTTCCCCTCTGGCCAACAAATGGGGAATTGCCATGGTGCATTCCAGATAAAGTTCATAAATGCTGATTGTTTTACATCATATGTATTTGATTGCATAAAAATGAAGAGTCCACACTCGTTATGCATAATACAACAAGAGTGTTTCTAGGTATTTACCAAACTGATTTGAAACCTATGTCCATACAGAAATCTGCATGTTCAGCACATGAAAGGATGCTCAACATCACTAGTCATTAGAGAAATGTGCCTCCCAATGAGATCACTTCACACCCAGTACACAGTTATAATAAAAAAGATGGACAATTGCAAGCATTACGAGGATATGAAGACATCTGAAATACGTATCCACTGTTGGTGGGTATAGAAAGTGGCATAGCTGTTTTGGGAAACACTTTGGGTGTTCTTCAAAGAGTTAAGCAAGAGTCACCATATGATCCAGTCATTCTGCTTATAGGTATATATCCAAGAGATAAGACAACATATGTTTGAGCCAAAAATTGTATGTAAATGTTTACAGCAGTATTATTCTTCACAGCCAAGACGTGGAAACAGTCCAAATGTCCATCAACTGATGAGAAAATAGCATGTGGTATAGCCACACGATGGAATCATACTCAGATATACAGAGGAAGGAGTCTTGACGGATACAGTTGACACCATGGATGAGCCTGGAGAACAGTTTGCTGAGCAGCAGAAACCAGACACAAAGGGGGACGTTATACTATTCATTTATGTGAAATGTCCAGATAGGAGAAGACATAGAGACAGAAAATAGCTTTGTGGCTGCAGGGTGCTGGTGGTAAGGAAGAAAGGGAAGTAATTGTGGGGCTCAGGGCTTGATTTAGGTTGCTGAAAATATTCTGGAATTAGATAGTGATGATAACTGCACAGTACTGTGAATGTCCTAAAAAAATACTAAAATCTTAAAGATGACATTTTAAAAGTGAGTTTCACGGCATGTGGATTATATCTCAGCAAAAGTTTTTTTAAATGATAAAACTGAAAATCAGTTCTGCACATGAGTGTATATAAAAACTTTATGTATAATCAATAAAAACTGAAAGCAAATAAGATGTCTTTCTGTAGGTGAGAGCTTAAACAAACTGTGGTCCATCCATACAATGGAATATTATTTAGGGAGAAAAAGAAAGGACCTATCAGATCATGCAAAAATGTGCATGCGTTTTCCATGTCTATGACTAGGTGAAAGAAGTTAGCTTGGAAGGCCACAGGACTCCATTTTATGACATTCTGGAAAAGACAAAACGACAGAGGTAGTACACAAACCAGTGGGTGTCAAGGGTTCTGGGAGACGGCAGGCTTAAATAGATGGAATGCCGGGGGTATTCTGAGTAATTAAACTATCCTTATGATACCGTCATGGTGGACACATGATATAATTCATCTGTCAAAGCCTAGATAATATGCAGCACAAAATGTAAAGCTTAATGTGTGCAAATTAAAACAAAGTAATTTAGGAGATCAAGGAAGCCAAACAGTGATGGAAGGGAAACAGCGATGAAAGAATCAAACTTTATTGCAAATGAATGAAATAACCTCCCTGAAGGGAGTGGGGAAAAGATGCTTACCAAAGCAACTCTGGAAATCAGTGGAGTCTGTAGAACTAAAGACAAAAATCGCCATGTGTAAGCACTGTAGTGTGGTTAATGAAGTTGCTCCCCACAGGATTATGGGGCTAACAATCCTGATACAACCTCATGTGTACAATAGAACTAAACAATTAAGTAAATGGATGGTGGACGTCGACATCAGGTGTCTCACTGTTGGAATGTTGGAATGGGAAGTTATGGAAAAAGTCAAGGAACAGGTGAGAATGGTCAATGTGACAATTGGCTAGAATTGAAGATGTCGATGTAAACTCATGTTTAAGTGAATACGTGTATTGTTTAACCTCATGTATAGGTATACGTGTATTGTTTAACCTCATGTATATTACAGAGGATGTCTGGACAGAGTTATAGATATGGGTATATACAAGGGTTAGTGTCCACACATATCTTTTGCTCTGGTCTGAAAGTCATGAAAGAATGACACTCCAGTGCAATAAGTATACCTCGTGCCCAGCTCTTGGTTTGTAATGAACTTTTCTCAAGTAAAAGGACCCAGGACACCTCAGAAAAAGGACTGACTCCAGAACTTAGGTTGGAAAGATGAGCTTAGAGCATACTGCAGTGCCAGTGTGTAAGGAAGTATCAACACAGGCACACACATACATACATTCTCACACATGCACACACACTCACACACACACACACTCATACAATGTTGAGGGTATGTTAAAGGGACACAGGAGACAACTGAAAGAGCTCCCAATGTCAAATGCTGGAAAAATTTGGGTAACAAAATAAGTAAAGTAGTGTGGAATATACCTCAGATTATAAAATAAATACTCAGCCAATGTTACGCTACATGAATGATTGATTGAATAAGTAAATAAATGGAGGAGAATAAGCAGAGCTTCCATACTGAAGAATTAGGAACCATTTTTGTAGCTACTTGGTCCTTAAGGAAGGGGAACATTATTCCCCAACCTCTGTCCCTTCTGCCCATCCAAAACCTGGCTTGTTGTCAAAGGATTAAACCCTACTGCTTTCATATATATCTCCAACCTGTCCACTCCTTCCTATCACTGCTGATTTTTCTCCTTTCTGAACATTATATGTGGTCTTCCCATAGTGACTTCATTCCAAAAAAAAAAAAAAAAAATACAATACAGAAAGAGAGAGAAGATGAAGTGATTTTACTGTGGAGAAACCCAACACACAATATCTCAGTCAAGTGATTAAGTTTAAGGTCAACAGTGGTGAGTTATGTTGACAGCTTATAATTGTGGTACAATGTGGTGAGAATAGAATATTATGTCTCCCAAAAACTTAACCTGTAAAATCACAAGAAAAACTTCAGACAAATCCTAATTAGGGGACATTTTATAAAATACCTGACCAGGACTCCTCAAAAAATACCTGATTGGTGCTCCTTGAAGATCACCAAAGACAAAAACAACCAGAGAAAGAGCCACAGCCCAGAGGAAACCCAGGAGCAGGGTCCTCTGAAAATAGTACAGTACAGTGCGGGGATCTTGCCATGGGAAACAATGCCAGGCAAAAACTAGGGAAACCTGAATATGAACTTTAGTTAATGACAATGGATGAGTACAGGTTCATTAATGCAATGTTTGTACCATACTACTGTAAGGTGTCATGATCGTGGAGACTGGATGTGAGACACACAGGACCTACCTCTACTGCTTTCAGAACACTTCCCTATGTTCAAAACTATTCAAAAATTAAAGATCTATTAAAAGCAAAGAGACCATCTAGGGAATATGCAATGCCACTCCTAGACTCTGGCTTCACTACATGCTCTGCCCTTTTTTTCATGGCTAGAGTGCCCGCGGAAAACCAACCTCCCATTTGCCTGGCTGGGCTGTGAAGGGCACTAGTCAAGGTCCCCCAAACAATGGCACTTAATGCTCGGGTTTTCCAGGACTAAAGGAGCCTTCTCCTCCTGGGATCCCTCACATCCAAAGGACCTCAACTCTGTGGAATCTGCACTTCTCTCCTTTCCACTCCACCCCGGTCTCCACCCCAGATTAGGACCAACAGTGCATGCCCCTACCACCACCCAAAATATCATAATCCCTCCACTGTCCCTGGGTTGTTCTCTCTCATCATGTGGATTCTTATTCCAAGAAGAAGAGCTTATGGGTTTGAAAACCCCTCCAGCAAAATGACTAAATGATCTATCCTTGTTTGATGGGCAGGATGATTGAAAAATGACTCATTAGAAGCACAATGTCAGGGCTTCCTTTTCAGAAACCAGATGGAGTGAGGGAGGGAATTACATTTGCAACTAATGAGTCACCCTCTCCTGATGACAGACAAACTGCTTTTCTAAAGCAACAACCAACCAACAAATGAACAAACAAAAAATCCCTGCTCTCATCATCACCACATTTTAGAAGTGCATTTAAAATTTTCATTTCTGGGTTCCACATGTTCTCACTCATAAACGGACCCTGAACATTTACCATAATACTATAAGAAAGGGATTGGCAATAGTGGGATACTGCTGGGGTGGGGGTGGGGAGACACAGTATCCATAAGGGTACCTTGGGGAGGCCCAAACTACCTGTATCATGACCACTTGTATACCTAATCCTGAATTATACTCCACATTTTTAAATAAAATATAAAAAAGGAAAAAAAATATGTATGGGAACATCTAAATCTCTAAGAAAATTCCTAAATTGGGAAAAATGGTTGGGATGTATGTGATTAGAGGAGAATTTTGGCTCTGGGATCCCAAATAAGCACCAGTTAGTCAGGTTTTATTAGATATACAGCTGCATGGTGTGAGATATGGCCACCTTCACACAGGCTAGGAGTCCCTGGTCAGCAGGTTTGGCAATTTCTCCCAGAAAGGATTTATTAATTTGGCAGTCAGCATTATCTCTATCAATGTTAAAAACAAAAAACAAAAAACTACTACAACAAATCCATATATACATATATATTACAGGATAATATTTTGATAGAAAAGCTTGCATTTTTCAACTCTTTTTCTTATTTTTGGCTTTCTACTACACTGTGGGATTATAGCTTCAGCTGAGCATTGCTAACACAGAACATGAGTCAAAAAAAGAGTCAAATTTTAGCTTCTTCATTTCAAAACCAGAAGTGATGCCACATCATAAGATTTGGGAGAGCATGTGACCAGCCCATTTCTGCACTCCCCGTCCTTCCCCCGCAGTTTTGCACCCTTCAGCAGCACCCCATTCTGACAAACTTGCAGTTTGGAGAGAGGAGCCAGGTGGGCGTGCTCTGTGTGGCTGCAGGGGCTCTGCCATTTGAGAGAGCACCCCATGCTTTGGGTGTCTCGTCTTCAGGAGACAGGTCATGTGCTCACATGTACGGATAAGGGAACCGCATGGAAGAGCTTACCTCAGCAGTCACTACACAGGAAAATGGTATGCCTGAGGGCTCTAGCCTCCGCCTCCTCACTGGGACACTGGCACTCTGTCACTCTCGGGGGTTAGGAGCAAGTTTAGGTAGGAGAAAGAAGTATTAGATTAGCTGAGATTCTGTGTCTGGCTGACTAGGGATGTGAAAGAGAGAGGAACTTTGATTCTGGGATAAAGTTGTACCTCTTGTGAGCCAAAGTCTGAAGTCTAGGTTAGTGATCACCACAAGTTTATCAACACTTGAAAAGGGGGAAGGATGTCTTTCTTCATGCCACACTTTGAGAAATCTCTGTTAAATATAAAGCCGTAGCTCATGTGAGATACATAACTGGGTGCAGCAAGACATAAACTTTGTGGCATAAAACTCTAAAATTGCTGGGGCAATTTGCTATTGTAGTGTAACCTAGCCTATGCATACTAATATATTATGGAACACACAAAACTTAGAATAATACTGATCTTCTCAGAATTTCATGCTCAGTTAAAAAAAATCAGACTATAAACCAAGGCTATTAAAATAATTCCAATTGTGTAAAATGGTTATGTAAGTTGACATAAATTAAAACACTGATAGATTACAAATGTTATATATTTTCTCCCTTATTTTTGTTTTTTATTGTTTTTTTTATCACATACAGAACAAAAGAAAACGTGAATAAAAAATGATCACATATTCCTCAAAACTTCACTACTAGACAATCAGGACGTGCATCGTATATAGTCTTAAGTGCGTTAATAGGAGGTAGGATAGATTCTTCTTTAAAACTAAAACCAGATTTGCAGGGATACAAACCTCTGAATTCCCATGACTCGATCCTATAATTTTATTAGAACATCTACTCAAAGCTACAAGTATTTATTGAACATTTATCCAGTATTCAATAATGCGTCATATGATGTCAAAGACAAGAAAGAAATGCATACAACAATTACCGGAATATTACACTCAAAATCTGACATAGTGATAAAGACTTAAACAAGCAAGAATTGGTGTACAAATGTATACAAACACAGGTCTCCTTCATCCTACTGCATGTGTTAAATTAAGTATGGAGTTGAATGCACAAGCAGTGTCTTCTTACAG